TGCTCTTCTCTGGCAGTGCTGCCTTGCTCTGCTTCCCAGTGGCCATTAATTAAGCAGCTTTGCTCTGCAACACCTTCCACTGTGATGTTTTTTCCTTGAAGACACCTGACCATGGACTGAGCCGGCCTCAAACTGTGAGCTAAACTAAACCTCTGTGGGTGTCAGATACTATGTCTCAGGGATTGGAAACTTAAAACACACACTAATACTTTGTTCCTTTTTTCCTCTCTCTCTCTTTTGCAGTACTGGGGATGGAACCCAGGGCCTCACACATACTAGAAAAGTGCTCTACTACTGAGATTTACATCCTCAGCCTTTTTTTTTTTTTTTTTTTTTTTGGTACTGGGGATCAAACTCAGGACCTTCCGCTTTTGAGGCAGGCAGTGGAACCCCTGAGCTAAATCCTCGGCCCTCTCAGCCTTTTTAAAAAATTTTATTTTAGCCAAGTATGGTGGTACACACCTGTAATCCCACCATTTGGGAGGCTGAGGCAGGAGGATCACCATGAGTTTGAGGCCAGCCTGGACTACGTACATAGTAAGTTCAAGGCCAGCCTGAACTACATGGGACTCTGTCTCAAAAAACCCAAATAAGTGAATAAATACAATTTATTTTGAGATAGGGTCTTGCTAAGTTCTTAGCCCAGGCTGGCCTTGAACTTGTGATCCTTCAGCCTCTGCCTCCTGAGTAGCTGAGATGATGGGGTGTGCCACTGCACCTGGCAGTACATTGTTCCTTTCTCTTGGTTGGTGATACTCACTGTATGGATATGCCACAGCTGCTTTTGTGGTATTCAACTATTGTGCATAATGATACTATAAATTTTTTTTTTTTTTCCCCAGTGCTGGAAAAACCCAGGACCTTGCGTATGAAAGGGAAGTGCTGTACACTTAGTTAAACTCTCAGTACATCATGAACAATCTTATATTTTGTGGTCATACATAATTATTTTTCATACTTGAATGTAGAATTTCAGAGACATAGGGTAGGTATATATTTTAATTTTATTAAATAAAAAAACTGTTAGATCCTTTTGAAAGATCCATCTACAAAGAATGAATAAAAACATTGTGGAATAGTCACACCATGGTATGCTGTGCCATAGTTAAAGTCCAGCCACACATGTCAGCAGGGCAAAAGCCAAAAGCACATAGTAGATTGAAACATTTATTATGACACCATTTATATGAAGTTTGAAAACATCTGAAACAAATGTTACAAATAATTATATACACAATTATGAGGTAAAAGCATATTTGTAAAAACAGTCATTGATTTCAGGACAGAGGGCTGACAGATGGGGTCAGAGCGGCTCAGACCCCACCTGGAGAGATGTATGTCCATAAAAACATCAGAAGCAATTATGGTAAAATGTTAAGATTTATGAAGGTGAGGGCTGAGGATTTAGCTCATTGGTTCCGTTGCCTACCTCGCAAGTGCAAGGTCCCGAGTTTGATCTCCGGTACCAAAAAAAAAAAAAAAGGTTTATCAAGGTGAATGATGGCTGCATGCTTCACCATACCCTGGATATTAATCTCTCTTTACCTTTTGGTTCTTCTGGTTGCTGACTTGTTCATTCCTGAGGATTCTTTCTGGTGCTCTTCACCCCTGCCCGCTGCCTCCTCAGGTGATGGATGCCTGGCCAAGCAGGAGGTAGTCAGGAGGTAGTCGGGGCACAGTACTGTCCTCTCCCAGTCCTGTGCCTCTCAGGGCATTTCTTTATTACCCTCACTTTTCTCTTTCTATTCTTTATGTCTTTCACAGTGGCCCTTATAATGGTATCTCTTTTCCCTTGAATTTCGTATAATTTTTTTACTTCTGAAATGGGTTTTTGCTTTTTTCCCCATTTTTGTTCTTAATCTCCCAGTTCCTGGTTCATGTCTGCCTGCTCTGTCTCCTTCTGGTGTCTGATCATCCCTTCCTGCAGTTCTTTATTTCTGCTGTGTCATCTTCCTGCACAGCTGCCATTGCTTAGTTATATATTTTTAAATTCACAATAGAGTGTTGAGTTAAAATGTCTTCTGCATTGTGGTGATATTTTCCTGATGAGTTTTCTTTTTACAGTGAAGTTTTGCTGCTGCTTTTCAGTTTTGTTTTCTGGCAGTACAGTGACTGCTTCAGGGAAAGGCAGATTCCAAGACCTGAGGTCCTTCCCTGAATCTTTCTACCACTACAGCCGAGAAGTCTGCCTCTTTCTCTGAGGTCACTGTGTCCATGAATGTGCATGTGGAGGAAGACCCCATCTGCAGGATTAAAGGGCATGGCTGCCAGAGCAGAGAGAGGGTCCTTATTTAAGTCTGGTCTTTCAGTGGTTCCTTGTAACGTAAGCCAGTTCGCCACATATTAGCTCAAGACACTTGGAGTCCATTTTGTCACATGCCACTGAAAGAGACAAATAAACCTTACTTTGTTCCGTCATAGCACCTGTGCGCTGTGGTCATTGTGATTTCCTGTTCATTTGTCTGAGTCTCCCACTGAGTGTCCTCTGCTACGTCTGCTGTACCCCGTACTAGCTTTGTGACTGGCCAGCACTGAGCAGTCAATTTAGATTAAAAAAAATTGAAACTGCATTTCTGCCTTTCCAGACTCTTAGAATTCCTCAGGGTCTTGCATTCCCACTCCTTCAGGAAGTCTGCACCTCTGCAGTGCCCCTCTGCCCTGGGACTCTGCCTTGGAACGAGCCAACCAAGGACTGAAACCTCTACAAACTTTGAGCTAAATAAACCTTTCCCCTTTTAACTTTGGGTGTTGGGTATATTGTCTCAGCAACGAGAAAAGTAGCTAAGGAAGTAACAGCTCTTCATAGTGACAATGCTGACTTCCTGGGGAGAAATAAATTCATTCGTCATGTAATCTTGTAGAGGCTCCTGATTAGAGTGTGACAACATCCATAAAGATTCCCACCAGATCCAGTAGTCTTTCTGCTTTGCTGCCGAAAAAGTTGTGTTTTTTTTTCTATCAGTGCCAGAATATAGCTGTGCTTTATGCCCTGTGAGGGAGAGAGAGAGTAACTGCCTATGGTTAAGGTCTGCAGAAACAAGTGTGACAAGTGTTAGAAATTATTCAAAAAGGACCTTAACTCGGAACAGTGGATTTTAGTACATGGGCATTGTTTGCTCTTTGTAAAGAGAGGTCCACAGTCTATAATCTAAAATCTTTGGGGCCTGATGAATCTTGGAATTGAGACTTCCAGAGTTTTTGAAAGGTGGCATGTACATGTATGCTGTATGTTGTATGACAGCCCTGGCAGAGTCTAAAGTAGTGATCATTAAAAAAACCCAGCTTTCTGCAGTGAAATGTCAGAAACACTAGTTAGGACACATAGTGTACAGTTTATGTAATTAATCAACTGGTAAGCAGGCCAGGGATTTAGCTCAGTGGTGCCACCGCCTGCCTCCCAAGCACAAGGTCCTGAATTCGATCCCTGGTACCAAAAAAACAAAACAAAGAAAACTGGTAAGTGAAATACAGGTTGTAAATGCTCTAGTAATTTGATTTCTAAGAAAAACATTTTGTAAATATTTATATACAGGTTGAAATTGAGCTAACTGTGTCTCTGCATATACAGACCATGAATGGCTATTTGGTCTGGTTCCTGTGCCCAGTGGAAGCCAGGGCTGGATATCTGGTGCCAGCTGAAGCAGGATGAAGGCCATGCTCCAACTTGCCCTTCTTAAGGACTTTCTCCCCCTTGTCATATGGCTCATTAATTTGGGTTTCCATCTAAGGAGTCCCAGATCCTCCTGCCTCAGCCTCCTGAGTGCTAGGATTACAGGTGTGGACCACCATACCCAGCTAGCAGTCCCTCTAATTATGAAAACTGCCATAAATTCACAATTTGCTGACTGCATAGTAAAGGCCAGCCATTGACTGATCGTGTTTCACCTTATCCTCTACTGTTTTTTCCACCTGTGTTCAGTTTCCTCTTCATCATCATCATCCTCATGATTATATTTAAAACCATTCTGCTCTTTTAAACCATTAAGGGCTTCATTAAACTCCTTTCACTTACTAAACTTTTGTCTTGTTTGACACACTCCCTTTTGCTTTTGTCTTTTCTGTCTTCCAGAAAGTTCTCAAATCATTTAGTTCAGATACTGAAATAGTTAATAAGTAATTACTTGATTTTTAATGTTGATGCCAGAGGAGTGGTCATCACTAGGTGCTCTGTCCTTTTTGTATTCTAGTTGTACCCTTGGATTGGATGTAGCAATAATGTTTTCTGGCTGTTGAGAGCTCTTGAACCCAGTCATTATCCCCAAAAACTAAAAAAAACACTGTTGGTTCTAAATTCAACTTACTGAAATTTACCCCAAACAATACAAAATCTTTGTCTGGCTTTATTATTGCCCAATATTAAGGGTGGATAAATAGAGCATGCATAGCTACTAGCCTTTCACTTTTGGGTTTGCTATTAAAAATGCTATTTGCCCTCATACCCTTCTTAGTTCTTCGTATTTCTTTGCCTCTATTCTTCTATACTGCAGATTTTTCCTCACCTATTGAACAAAGAAATTGCGATGTATATTTTCACGTAATTTGATTTTGGAATTCTGTCATCTTATGTAGTGAGTTCTTCCAAAATATAATTTTTTCCGATAAAAAAAATAAACCATTGTGCAGTTTCCCTACTTAAAATATTCATAAGAAAATGTCAAACTGGAATTTCCTTTTTTCTTTTTGGTACTGGGGGATCGAACTTGGGACCTTGCTCTTGCAAGGCAGGCACCAGAACCACAGCTAAATCCTCGGCCCCTTTTCTCGTGTTTTTGGTTTTTTTTTACCCATTTGATCAGATTTATTGTTTAGCAACTGATGTATATTTTAAATGCTTAATAATAATTATATTCATTATATTTGTGATTGTTTAACTTTC